TTTTTTCTACAAATCATTTGTCGCGGGCACGGTGTGTTTATCAATTTTCCTCACGTGATCACTAAACGATGGTAGTACTGAGCTATCCACATCTTCTATTGGCATCTCCTAGCCATATCTGGCCATCTCATCAGCCGACTTATTCCTTAAATATAGCTATGTCCCACGGCAAGAGTGGTTTTGATACGGCTCAGTGACGCTAGCGTGGTGCGGCATGAACATACAATTTCCGATTTCACTATTTTAGATCATATTACCTTCAGTGCCGCTTGACTATCGACACAGATAGTGGCTTTATCTTCTGGAAGTCTATTACTAAGTAAAAAGTAAAATCCGCCCTTTGTGTAGCGTACATCTCTACTTGGAAGACGGTGCAAACGTTCGATAGACGAAGGGGCCGGTTGATGCTCTGAGTCCTCTGAGTAGAGACTGGCTCCGGTCCCTTGTTCCATATGTTAACCATCAGTGTAGATGGATATACCTCCCTCTTCTACTGGCCGCCCTGCATCCCATTCTTCTCTGGTCGGGAACCTAATAGGTACCTTAGTATTGAAGTCCCAAACAGGCGCAATGTAATCAGTGTTGCCTTAAATGTCAGCCTTAATTACATTGAGCCGGCACTTTTTATTTCATTCAGTATTGTTGCATGCCCGAAATTGGCTGCCTTCCACGTATTGGCCTCTATGAGCCTGAGGGAGTTCTTTGCCCCCCCTACTATGGATGAAAATATGCATCGGTACCCTTCTTGAGGTATGCGACTTACTGCTGCCGATATGCCAAGGCATGCGAATCTCTGCAACTTGCCTATTGTTGCCTTTGTTTTGAGCCCTCCACAATACTAAGGACCCGCAGGTTGTAATTGGTCTAATGACTGTCGCGTACATCCCATAGGTAACGTACGGTGCTTCAAAAAGTCCTTACCATGTGTAGTATACTGCCAGAGATTCTTAGCTCTTTCCTCTCCATTTCTTTTCCAATTCAACTTAGAGTCCGAAGTATTTTGCCTGGGAGGAGAGATTCAAAGTTATTTTCCCTAATTTCGGTATACAAAACGTGGGTATTTTGTTTTCCCAGTAAACAGTACCAGTTCTGTCTTGGAGGCGGTAACCCCCCATCCATTCTGATTGGTCCAATTAGATATATCACCACTGTTTCGCTTATCGTTGACAAGAATTTTCAGATGATGAGTATCACCA